GCGGTTAAATTAAGTGGCGTTTCCCAGAAGAAACAAGAAATAAGGAAGAGAGAATGATGAGGAAAGCAATGAAAAAAATAAATAAATAAATTAGGATGTGAGGGTTAAATATGTGCGGTGGAAAAGTTTGCTAATGTCGATATCAATCAAAAAAAAAAGAAAAAAAATATTTTTTCTTTCCATATATAACCAATTTTGCCATTGTTATTTTTGTTATTGACATTATTATCATTTAAATGATTTTTTTCTGTGGTTTTTCTTTAATGACATTTTTAAAATTCTGCCCCTTTATGATTCATTACCCTTTTTTTTTTTGCTATTAAAACGGCTTTTTCTCTCTTTTTTTTTGTTTTCTTAAAGGGAATATAAAAGGGTAAGGAATTATCTGAAGCCGTTGCTGAGGAAAGCTTGGAGAAGTTTGAACTGACAGATGCTGGGCGTCGAGTCCCCGAATTTTCCATGACATTTGGAGAAAATGCACATGCTCATGAGCGCAATTTTTTTAAACGAAGCTTCAAGGACCCTCGCGCCAACTTCATCAATCGATGGCGATATATTGGTTAATGAGAAGATTCATTTGTTTGAGCAACAAGCCGATGAGGATTCTTTTTGGGTTTAGGTTGGATTGCTCTTTTTTATTTCCCTGAATTTGCCTTCTGCTACGAGTATTGCGTTTATTTTTGATTTGGAAGTTTTACCATTTTCTTTTATGGGCTCTTCTCTGGTTAATTATTTTCTTTCAGATGCTTCTGTAGGGTGGCTTATTATTTTAATTTTTACTCAATATTCGGTTTGTCGATTGACTTTTGCTATTGAACCAGTTTGCTCGCATGCTTACGCTAGAGATCCAGCGAGTGATGAAAAAGGTGTTGTTCTTTCAAAGAGGAGTTTTGGTTGGTATTTTATCCATGATAACTGTAAAAAAATATATTATTATTATTATTATTATTATTATTATTATTATTATTATTATTATTATTATTATTATTATTATTATTATTATTATTATTATTATTATTATTATTATTATTATTATTATTTGATACAAGCTGCTCTACCAAAATGCCACGGGAAAAGATATTTGAAATTGCCTCTGATTTTATGGGTTTTTTGAACTTTTTAAAATCATTTCATTGGTTGCCTTGCGAGATTTCTAGACTCTGTTTTATTCAGCTTAAGTTTTGATTACCCGTAGTGGGTGTTGTTGTGATTCCACTAGTTCAGCACTTTTTGGTGAATTGAGGCGCTCGTGGAGCTATGCTAGGAATCAATATTGTGGCTTGGATAGAGCTTGCCTTAATTATAACTCCGGGAAAATTTTTGAGATGAAATCGACAAGCGCTGGGTAATCTTTGTGTCTAGGAAGCGTTGCAAGCGGATGATTTGAAAGAATATCTTTGTTAGTTCCGTTTCTCTTTTCGTTGTTGCTGAAGCATTGGCATTTGGTGTTGCCATGTTACTCTTGAATACACTTGGAGTTTTAGAAAGGGCTGCTTTCTCCGCAATTCTCAACAATCTCCTGATGTTTATCGTTCTTCCAGGAGGCATAAACACAGCATCTTGTACCACAATTGGTCGAACATGCGTCCACGGCGCGCATGGCGATGTGTTATTGCTGTGCCACCTTTTTAAAAGGGTAT